CACTATAGTCCTTCATTAAGGGCTCTAACTATGGTGGAACCAAACTAATAGGCTGCTTCTCCGCTTGGACCACTGCAAACACCATCCTCCACTCCTCCAATCCCTCTATAAACTTAGCCAAAAAAAGAAGGCTTGCACACCCTTTATTTGATTTGGATGCACTTTCCTTTTTAGATGGACCTAAAACCACTTTTATCCCATCTTTGACAAAGGAATAAATGTTTTTAAATCTATCGTGTATGGTATGTCTATCAAATTACCATGGACTACCCAATAATAAATAACATGCATCCATAGACACAACATCGCCCCACACTTCATCTTTATAGTGCTTTTCAATAGAAAAAGAAACTAGATAGCTCTTAGAAAATGTTACCTCATTTCTCTTTTTGAACCAAGCTATCTTATATAGTTTTGGATGGCTCTCTATCTTCAACTTCAACTTGTCTGCCATCTCCTGAGAAACAATATTTTCACAACTGCTCCCATCAATGATAAGATTGCAAATCTTCCCGTAGGTCATGAATTGAGTGTATAAAATATTAGTACGCAAACAATCCACCTCATCTACTACCTTGTGGGTCACCTTTCTACACCAAATCACCAAACCCTCACCATGGTCACTAAAGGTTACTTCAGGCTCTTCTCCCTTGGGCTCTTCATCATAAATAGGGTCCCCATCAAAAGATGCTTTGTTGTCATCCTCTAAAACCTCTTTAGCAAGGGCCAAAAATTTTCTATTCGGGCACTTAGAAGAGACATGTCCAATCGCCGAACACTTAAAGCGTTTTATGGTGCTGCTGTTTGGGTGATTTGGCAACTAGAACCAGCCCCAATACCCATAGTTTCCTACCGTTTTGACAGATCAGCAGGCTATGAGGACTGTCCACCCACTAAATTTCCACTTTTTCCCTTATATTCACTTCCACGGCCTTTTGAGCTACCCTGGCTTCCAGCCTACCTTGATGATGGATGCCTCAACTGAGCTTCAACCGTAACTACTAGGATATAAGCCTCATTTAAGGTCCAATACGTTGTAAAACCACCACATCTTGTATAGACGATCTTAGCCCACCAACATAATGAGCGAAGGACTGTTCTTCCCTTTCAACCATATCACTGAGAGCCATTAACTCATGAAATTCATCGGTATACTTCTCTACACTCTTTTCAACTTGGTGAAGATTATTCATCTTGTAATAGAGGGATTGCAAATAATTTTCAAGCAAATATCTTTCTTTCAATTTCTTTTTCATCTTCTCCCTTGTATTAATTTTGGGCTTTCCCATCCTCTCTCTTCTAGCCCTAAGTTGTTTCCACCGTGCCGACGCACATTTTTTCAATTTTATGGCAATAATGTTTATCCTTTTATTTTCAGGTACCTCCTTATACTAAAAAACCCTTTCTATTGTATTTTTAACCAACCTATAAACTCCTATATCCACCTTAAAATCGACATCACTAGAGTGACGCATCCCAATATATGTCTCTGATCGCTATCCTCATCACTTAACTCCACACGCGGAGAGTGATGGTTAAGAGTGTTGTATTTGAGATCCTTTCGAGCTGAAAGATCACCGTCTTGCCCATTATTAAGGATCGCAAATTGTTGTATCAGTTGTTGAACTTGTCTTTCAAGTTTCTCAATTCTCTCATCTCTCATCTCCAGGATCATGAAGTGGGTCTACTAAAATACCCATTCTACGGCCCCTCTCGCTGTCATGGGTACGCTGAAATCAAAAACCTTAAGCAAATAATCAACAAAAGTAGTTAAAATCAGCAAGATCTAAGTTGTTTTTGGCAAAACATTGACCAAATTAGTAAACCCCAAACACCACTATAATTTCCCCTCTTTTTTGATGACCTAGGGCACCAAGAAAAGTGGTGCTACAGTAACTTTCGTATTCCTACAATACTTTTTGTACTGCTATAGTAACTTCCGTATGGCTACAGTGGCTTTTTGTGTGGATTGCGGGCTCTGTTACTACTTGATGTAGGAGAAATTTAAAAATCCAAGAAAAATTAGCAAGAAGCACACAATTTTGGAGAAACCCTAAGGTTTTCTCCCACCTAAGGCCCAAGCCTTAAGCTTTTTGTACAAGACAAAGTCTTTTTTTTATTAAAGGGGAATACATGAATGAGTCTCCAGCCCATCCATGCCTTTATTTATATTAAAAATTATTATTTTGGACAATATTTGTCCATACAATTTAACTTTTGACCGAAAGGTGTTAACTTAAATATAACTTGAACCTAAACTCCCTAACCTTAATTCAAATATCTAAAAAGTCTCTAACTGGTCCAGCAATGAAATAAATAAATAAAAAACATTAAAAAACCTTAAAAATTAAAAAAAACACCAAAAAAACTATCTTGCTTTTCTTGTTCTCCTTACAAGCCCTCCTAGGGTTTTCATCTTCCAAATATGAGCGAAAATTAGGAGGAATCAGTCTTCTAATAGAAGATACACATAGCTATTTGTTGTGCTCCGATCTCAATCAGATATGAATTCGAAAGGATGAGAGTGTATTATTGACTAAAACTCAAGGTTTCGAACTTTATGATATACTTTAAGCTACCTTATTTGATATTAGCAGGTTAGGATTAGTTTTGACTTCCTTATTTCATAGATAAATGGTCTCCTTATATACAATCCCATAACATTATGGGTGGAAATAGTTAAACAATAAATAATTTATTATCAACAGTAATTATATTGAAATATGAAAATGATTACATCGAAACAGGCCCTTAAAAGACAACCCAAAAAGGGAGTCATCTTCACTTTTACCATAGTATTTTATACTCTTATTTAACATATGATTCAACTTAAGAAAACATCCAAAATCATTGTTTAAAAGATAGATTGGTGACATAGATTGGCCATCCTGAAAACTTGTCTGCATAGGTGGAACGTGATCCAGATTGGTGGATCGGTCGGATGGGGAAGATCTGACAATAAATTTAAAAAACATTTACTAAAGTTTCTTAAAAATCTAGTTTTTGGAATTTCCAAAATACAAAAAATGGTATTACATAATAACTTTTTATTATATTATTGAAATGCATAGGTATTATTAACCTATCTTATGTTTGAGTGTTTGTTATCCATGACATTCATTTTATAGTCAAAATAAAATTTTAAATACAACTCATTCAAACAAACTAGATTTCTCTAACTCAAATGTTTATCATAAAAAAAAAAAAGTTATGACCCTCACAATAAGCTATCACGTTTATCTTAGAAAAGACAATCGGGGAAATAACTTTGGGACAAATAAATTTTTTTTGAAGGTATATAATCTTAAATTTCAATTAATTAAATTATTTTCAAAGTCTTCTCACGCAGTTCCAATTGTAAACTAATTCTTTCCAAATAGGAAAAAACCCTTCCTTTTTAACTTTTAACACCGTAGAAATAATGCGCTGGCCCTATTGATATTTGCACTGTTGGTAGGGGTAAATGACAAAGAAATACGGCATTACTAGGCATGTCCTTTTTTGCAATACACACGTTTTCGCAAATAAGTAGATCTAAGGTTTAACAAATAGTTTTTACGAAAATATAAAATTTAGAAATATAAATTTACAATCTTGAAAAATAAATAAAAGCATTTATGCTTACAATGGGAACGCAAATCTCCTATAACAAAAAAAAAATCGCTTGTCGAAGGCTTATTCACCCCAAAACAAAGAAGGGGTAGAGGCGAGAACGATTTGCCTCGTATCAAGGACTAGAGGTACACAAAACCAATTTTGAACTGACGGTTGAGATTGTTCTAATCACAATATCACATCTCTACACTATTTTATTTTTAATATTTTTTATAAAATGTTTTGACATCAAATTTTGGCATCCACTCCTCTTCTAAACTTGCAACGGTAAAATCTATATAAACTATAGTCTCAATAAAATAAAATGACCAAAATACTCTTGAAAGATTCAAGCGGTAGTTTGGTTATTATACTTTTTGTTTTTTAAATATTTGTTTAGTTACGGCCCATTGATATGATGGCATGTACTAAATTTCATTCAATATGTAGAAAAAAACTAAATATAAAATACTTTGAAAAGTCGAATCTAGATCAAACAGTCAGTGGCTCACTTGATCTAAGGTTGGATAAGGGGAAAGTAAGTATATTCCCAAAAAAAAAAAAAAGACATTAGACTCGCATGTTAAGAAAACGAGACTATTCGCGCGAGGTAAGCCTAACAAGAGTATGCATGGACGTGGTACCAGCCAATAACTAATAAAGACAATAAGTAATAAAGAAGGAAAAGTGCTATATGTGACCAGGAATGCATTCCTACATTTGGTCCCCCAGGCACAAACCATCCATCCAAAGATGGATGTAAATCATGCTTCCTCTCAAAAAAAATAAAATAAGATCAATGATTTAAACATTTCCTTCAAAACGAATATTATTTTTAGTTTTTTTAAATTTATTGTTTTTACACATTATTGATCTCCATGTTATGGATTATATATTCCTTAAATATTAATGATCAATGTGTGGATTTGTACAGATATGAGTCGGGGGACTCATAGAAACTATGTCCAATAAAGGGCACAAGGAGTTTCAAAAAGCCGACGAACACGAAACTATACAAAGTGGGGTGGACCACCATCCTCCTTATCAATTAATTGGAAAAGACCGCAGGATTTGGTGAATAAAAATTTTACAAGTTAAGGGAATAAAATTTTTAAAAAATAATAAAAAATACAATGAGACCGATTCACATGGGAGCTTGCCAGTTTTCGATATCTAATGCGATCCGGATCTGCCTGGCCAATCCAGATCATCTAATGCAATCTGGATCTGCTTGGCCGATCCGTGGTCTGGATCGACCGTCAATCTGAGTCACTCAAATTTTAAACATTGTTCACAAAGGTTTATAGGGCCATGGCAATCTTTGTGTCCATTTTAACAATTGAAATATCATTCTTTTTTATTTTATTCTATTTACTTTTTGGATAACAGAATATAAATATGTGCAGGCCTACCAAAAGGGATTGATTGGCATTAGCCTTGTTACCAATTGGATGGTTCCTTACTCTCCTTCGAAATCCAACCACGATGCTGCGCAAAGAGCCATTGACTTTATGTTTGGATGGTTAGATTTCTTTTTTCAAAGCATTTTGTTTTCCATATACCCAGGAAGGACATAATTTAGCCTCACAAAAACAATAAAAAGTAGTTTTCAAAATATGAAATAGAGGAATAACATTATTCTTTTAAATATATTTCTCATTTATATTTGTGTTGTATTTTAGGTTTTGGGATCCAATTGCCTTGGGTGATTATCCATTGAGCATGAGGGCTTTAGTGGGAGAAAGGTTGCCCAAATTTACCAAGGAGCAGTCACTGATGTTGAAGGGATCATATGATTTCTTGGGGTTGAATTATTACACCACCAATTATGTGTTCAATGCTCCCAGTGAGAGTAATGTACTAAGCTACAGAACTGACTCACAAGTTAACTACACAGGTAAGAAGAAACTAAAAGTACTCTCTCTCTCTCTCTCTCTCTCTCTCTCTCTCTCTCTCTCTCTCTCTCTACTACTACTACTATACTACTACTATACTATATATATATAGTAGTAGTAGTAGTAGTAAGTAGTAGTACGTAGTAGTA